TTTTCGTCGCGCTGTGATGACGTCACAGCGCGCTTTTGTCGAGCGCGATTTTGTCCTACGTGCTTTTGTGGTGGAACCGGAAAACCGTAGCCTTGACTAGACACACTTTTGTTGGCAGGGTGATGTCTCTGCTTTTTAGGATGCTGTCTAGACTTGCCATAGCTTTCCTCCTCAGGAGGAAGCCTCTTTTAATTTTTAATACACACACATACGCACACCCCTTTACCCTTGTGGTAGCTAAAGAAAGCTTAATTATATTTTTTCCGTTGCATTGGGTTCTTGCTGCTATGCCACCTCGTCCTTGCTTTTTAGTTTTAGTTTTAGGTTTATTGACATTTGTATGCTGCCCACTCCCTAGGGACTCTGGGCGGCTTACAGACAAGACAAAGGGACATATATAAAAAATTAAAATAAGAATACAATTACTAAAATTACACATCATGCATACTGCATACTAATCAACAGCCCCAGGCCTGCCGGAACATCCAGGTCTTAGTAGCTTTACGGAAGGCCGGAAGAGTAGTAAGGGTCCGGATCTCTACGGGGAGATCGTTCCATAGAGCCGGAGCAGCTACAGAGAAGGCCCTCCCCCGGGGAGTCATCAGCCAACATTGACCGGCCGATGGCACCTGGAGGAGGCCCAATCTGTGTGATCTTATTGGTCTTTGGGAGGTAAATGGCAGGAGGCCATTGATTCAAAAGCAGATGTAAAGTTCAGGAAATGAAGTATGCAAGTCATTTCTTTAGGGAGTAGCCAAACATAGAGGATTCAACTTATTTTTAGTTCAAGGAAAGAAGGAGCCCAATTTAAAAGACAGAATAAAACAATGGGGTCGGTGAAACAGAAAAAGTAACGATTAACGAGGCAAAATCGTGCACTGGACCTGAAGCTCAGTTGACGGCTTTGGAAGGTACTTGGGAATCCTGAGCCTCTTGACAATGAGTAGTGAAGGTCATTCGTAAAATGGGTTTTCAGTAAATTTCAGGGACAGATTCTGCTAGAAATGGTGTGAGCTAAAGAAGCGATTTGGCAAGCCAAGGAATTTTATAAGCTCCACGGAAGTTCATCTCCAACCTCCGGGCAAAGGAGTAGGAATGGAAGGAGAAGAGCAAAAAATAAAATAAAATAGAATTGGAGTTACATTATTTTAGAAGTCTAAAAGATAAAGCTTTGAACTGGGAAGGCATTTGACTTCGAGCAGGGAGGAGGAATCCATGGTCCTAAAAGTCGGCCCCATCTATTGTAGCTGTAAGGCAGAGGTCGGCAACCTTAAATACTCAAAGAGCCACAAAGGTACTAACCGGAAGCTCCCCGTTCAATTCTGGAGCCGACCAGAAGTCCGGTTCCCTCACCTTAGAGTCTCCTCCTCGCATGGCATCCTTTTTCCTCTACCTGTCCTAACCGAAAGCCCTATCAATTGTGGAGCTGACNCAACTTCCCTTTCTTTCTAGCCGTGAATTGTGTTTCTATAGTTCAGTGGTTCCCAAACTTGGCAACTTTAAGACTTGTGGACTTCAACTCCCAGAGTTCTCCAGCCAGCTCTGCAGAGCTGGCTGGAGAATTCTGGGAGTTGAAGTCCACAAGTCTTAAAGTTGCCAAGTTTGGGAACCACTGATCTATAGATAAAGGTAATTTTACAACTCATTTAGGAATAAGGAAGAGTGTTTTAGAGCTACACAGTCTTTTCAGAACCGCATTGCCTTTAAAATAAACGTCGGTGCTTTTAAAATAGAATGCATTTAAAATATAATGTGTTGGTGTGCTTTAATTCAAAATGTACATGATGGTTTTTTTGGTTTTTTTTTAGGTTCGTGAAAGTGATCCTGGCGATCCAAATAAAGATATGGTGGTCCAATTAATTGACGACTTTAAAATTTCCGGCATGAATGGCATACGTATCTTTTCTATCTATTTTTTTCTTTTCAAGGCTCATTAAAGATGGTTCATCCCAGTGGTGGGATTCAAATAATTTAACAACCGGTTCTCTGCCCTAATGACCACCTGAATAGGTGTGGCTCGGTGGTCATGTGACTGGTGGGGCGTGGCCAACTCAACATCACTCATGTCCCTTGGTGCTTCGCCTTCGGTGTGACAATGTAATAAGGGTTAACAGGAGAGGCAGTTTCTGTAAGCAGGGCAATAAAGATTGGGCTAGAAACAACACCAGAATGTTTCCTTCCTGCCTTCCTTATAGGATTAGCCCTGTAAAGTGGGAATATAGGAAAAATGACTTTTTAAAAAGTGTATGGATATTTCAGTTATTTGGATATTTCATGCAGTAGACAAGAAAGTCATATTCATTTTTGAGTGCTCCCCTCAATTGTCTGACAAAGCTCTAAATTGGCGTTTTAGGCTTTTAAAAATATGGCAAATAACTTTTGAAATAATCTGAATATTTTTTGTATTTTTGGAAATATGATTTTAAAATTCAAGTTAAGGTTTATACAGGACAAATCTTAACAATATTTTCTTCAAATGTTGACTACATAAGCTTTCACGTTCTAAATGAAATGTCCTTAAATACTGTAAATGCAGCTATTAAGTTATGATATATAGTATTTATTTTACAATATTTAATTTGGATAATACAGTATTTATTTTGGCACGTTTGTCTATTTTTATAACTATGGGAATATCTGTTTTCTGTGTCAGTTTTCATAGTGTCGGCTTTGACAATCAAACGATTCATCGTCACTAATTAAAATACCAGCTGATTCTATAACAGATCTATGTTACATTATAATTCTAATTATACTTTTAAGGTATTGTTGCCACAGGAACAATTTACGTTCTTTTGACTTATACTAAGTACATTGAAAATTCCTTTTTTTGCCTAAGATGTTGTCATAGAGATGTGTTGCACACACTATGAGGTTTATTTTTCTCACTCCCTTTTTTTATTGCAGCATTTTTATTTCGTGAAATTAATTTATAGTCTCTGCTCATATATATTTTTTTCTCCGCTTTTCTGTTGTGATGGCTTTATAAACATTGTATACCAGTTCAAAAAATCACTTGCCCTTTATTATCCTTAACGGAAACACAGATGTCTGTATGGTTTTTGAAGTACTTGGACATCACCTTTTAAAATGGATAATTAAGTCCAGCTATCAGGGACTTCCAATCCATTGTGTGAAAAGTATAATACAGCAGGTGAGATTCCAGTATTCATGTATCATTAATTCAGGTAATTAATATGTCGTTGTCTGTCAGAACTTGAAGAGATTGTATTTTTTTATTAGTCCCCCTCCCCAATACTGCCAACTATTCATAGTGTTAAGAAGAAACTTTCCAGTAATTCGTCATAAGAGCTCAGTTTAACACTGAGATAAGTTAACGCTTGTAAATAAGAATAGTTGAAGAGTTCCAAGTTTAGAATGAATTAGTTGCTAACATTTTACAACCTGTAGCAGTCGGTCAGGGGTCGGCAACCTTAAACACTCAAAGAGCCATTTGTAACAGTTTCCCACAGAAAAGAAAACACCGGGAGTCACAAAATCCTTCCTGTGCGAAAAGGGAGTAGCTTTACCCACCAAAGGGAGTGTCAGGTTACACCAGGGTGTCGGCAACCTTAAACACCCAAAGAGCCATTTTGGACCCATTTCCCACAGAAAAAACACCGGGAGCCACAAAAACCTTCCCGTGCCTGACTATCTCCTGAGCGGCCACAAAACTAGTATATGTTGTTGAATTAAACATTCTGTTTTCTTCTGAAATTTTTCTTTTATTGGATTTACCCATGGTTGGCCTATCGGGGGTTGAAAAGCTCAAGAAATCATGTACCAGCGGGGGTCGCACATTGGCGGTTGGGGCGCATATTTTGAGTAATAGGGAGCCGCAGCAGAGGGATGAAAGACCCACATGCGGCTCCAGCAATAGGGAAATGACATTGTGCTTGCCTCAGCCAGTCTTATATAGCAGCGGTCTCCAAAGTCCGATCCATGGACTGGCACTGGGCTGCGGCATGTCATAAAGTGGGCTGTGCAAAGAAGCATCCATGGGATGTAGGCGGTACCTGAAACCACGCCCCCTCCTGGGCATGGGAAAATCTCTCTCCATGTAATCGGTCCATGGATGGCCAAAAGATTGGGGGCTGCTGTTATATAGCACTTAATACAGGTAGTCCTCGATTTACATCTGGTGGCTTATGACCTGAAGATCCATCGTCAAATCCCTTCAGTGGTCATGTGACTGAACGTCAGACCCTCGTAACAGCAGTTGCCCCCCTCCCCCCCACTTACGACGGTTGCAACGGTCATGGTCCCTTATGGTCATGTGATCCAAATTCAGCCGCTTGGCAATTGACTCATATTTATGACGGTTGCAGTGACCTCCCTTTGCCACTTTCTGACGAGCCAAGTCAATGAGGAAGCCCTGTCCACTTAACAACCGTGTTCACCTAACTGAACAGCTGCAGGGATTCACTTAACAACGGTGGGATGAAAAGTCATCAAAATCAGCCCTCCCCCGTTTAACAAACATCTCACTTAGCAACAGGCGTATGCTCCATTACGGTCGTAAGTCGAGGTCCACCTGCCCCATGCTGCTTTCAGAACGCCTTAAGTTGCCCTGCTTGTAAATGCTGAGGTTAAGGAACATCTGGAGGGCTGCGAATAATTCCTCTTGGGGGGCTAGAATGTTGAAATCCTGACCGGCGTCCTTGTCTGTGATGGTAATGCCATTATTCTCCGTCTGAATATTTTGCAATCAGGTATTGCAGGGTTTAGATTACCTCCACAGCAAATGTAAGATCATTCATACGGATATCAAACCAGAAAACATCTTGATGTGTGTAGATGACACCTACGTGCGGAGAATGGCGGCGGAAGCGACCGAGTGGCAGAAAGCGGGGGCGCCTCCTCCCTCTGGCTCAGCAGGTAGCGGCGTTTAAAATTCATATTTTCCGCAAACGCGACAAGGCGGGCTGTAATGACAGCGGGTCGATTTTACATATGATGGGAACAATACGTTTCGATGGGCTGAATTGGAAAGGGGTACATTTTCAATCGCTTTGAAAAAGGAAAAGAACAGGAGTGTGATATGTATGTGTGTATAATATAGGTAGATAGGTAGGTAGGTAGGTAGGTAGGTAGGTAGGTAGGTAGATAGATAGATAGATAGATAGATAGATAGATAGATAGATAGATAGATAGATGGAATGAGAGATGAGAGATAGATAGATAGATAGAT